CAAATATTTTTCAAGTTATGAGAATATGACATTAAAAGAAGTCAATTTGAAAAAAGCAAAGGCTATACATTCATATACATGTACATGCCTGCGTGTAAAGTTTGTGCACAATGAGAAATGGCTTTATTTATTATTTTTATTGTACTCATTTTCATTGTACTCTGTCAGTCACCTATTCCTTTTCTTTCTCTTTATTAAAATTCCATTACTTCTCCTTCCTCCTATTCTCACTTGTCACTCATTCTCTCTCCCTCCTCTCTCTCAGTCTCTCTATACAAGACCACCTACCACTCCATATCTCTTATACTCATCCTCTTCGACTAATTCCATACACTCAGTACTGGACACTGGCAGACTGGTCCATTGAAAGGGACAGTGGTTGTCATGGCTTACTCCTCCAAAGTTACCAGCTCTTTACTACTATACAATACCTCCCCCTTTCTTAGTATCTCGTACTGTATTAATTAATTTTATTGAAGACCTTAACCAAATCAAGTAATTTGTCTCTTCTCTTATTAAACTCTTCCCCTCACTATTTTTACTCCTCTCTTTCCCATTCTTCTATTCTTCTTGTTTCATTTTTCTTTTACTTATTACATGATACATTGTTTATTGTTATCATTAGGTTATGGTATACTGTTACTGTTCTTATGGGGTACCCAATGTATGCTCCTTTTCATCAAAGAGGGTAAGTCATGTTACTTCTCATGATGTCATTCCATTCTTTCTCTCTTGATCCTCTCTCTCTTCCTCCTACTTTCTATAGAAGAATGACTGTTGTTATGGCAACTGTACATGTATACATGTACATCCATGAAGAGATACTCAAGAATATTTTACATTTTTTGTCCTTTATTGCCATAATTTTTCTTTGATAAAATCAACAATAAGCAAAACAACAACAACAATAATAAAAAATAAGCTAAGTTTTATTATATTTTTCTATTAGTTTATCAGCTAGTTTAATAATTCTTCTAGTCCCTTCCTCTCTGAGTATATCTAAGAATATACCAAATACTTCTCCTTCCATATTAATGGAGCTTGAAATGATGTGGAGCAATTCATCCATTCTTTCACCAGCAGTTTGTTTAGTGTAGCCATCAGTTATTCCTCTCTTCTCTCTTGCATTTATAACATTGTGTTCCAACAATTTGTCAACTAAGAAGTGAATATCAATCCCACAATTCTTTATCATTCCAGTACATTCTGTCATTACTCTATGAGCAATATCAGATCTAAATGTACCTACTAATGATACAAATTCAGTGATTAGTGTGTTATTATGTTAATATCAACTTACTAGCTCCTGATACTGGCGTTGATCTATGCACTACATTAAGGGAGGAGGAGGTAGTAGGATCTGTTAATATAACTAAATAGTTAAAATGATATATACATTATCTATCACTTGTTGAAGGAAGTGGAAGAGGAGGAGCAGTTCTCAATGAACAATGAATGAGCAATGTAACTGGGTCAACAACACCCACTAGTGGTACAGAGTATTGTAGTGATGATACAGCACCAGGTGATCCATATATTGATATCAAACAAAATGGAGGAACAGAATAATTAGCGTCACCAAAATTATCAACATCACAACGACGCAACTATTAATATACACATACCAATCATCAGTTATACATTATATTGCAGTACTTACTCTACAAGGCTGAAGGTGAGGCTCAATATCCCATCCAGTGTAAGGCTTCTTTTGTGGAGCATCAAAATTTAATTCAATATATGAATAAGAAGGATTGAAAGAAAAATAAACATGTTGATCAATCTCAGCTTGTACGTGTTTCTTCTCAATGAACTATAGAAATGAATATCTACATGTACATGTACACATTTGCATATAATCTACCTCATGGAGAGCACTCAATTTCTTAGCTGCAGAGAAGGTCACCAATTCTTTAGCTCTTTTCTCCTCATAATAAACCTGTCCAACATATGTCATATTTTCTACTAAGCCAGTGGAAACAACCATTTTACCTAACACAAATAATAATAATAATAATAATAATAATAATAATAATAATAAATTATTATTCTTGGCTATGTTTTGATGTACTTACTATTAAAATCTGAACTAATCTCAGTGCAAGGTATTGGAGCAGTTGCTTCTTCATGCTCTGGTTCTTCATGATCCTTTGACTCTTCTACTCTTTCATTATCTTGCTCTTCATTTCCTTCCTCATGTAATGGCTGACCTCCAGTCTCCTCTTCCTCTACTCCCTTATTATTAGTAGACTCTCCTATTATAGTGAAATAGATTCAGTTCATTATATACTATTACACACTTACTGACGTATTACTGACCTTGTCCTCCACTGCTACCTCCTGGTGGATTTTTAGTCTTATCAGAATCACTGGATGAATCACTATTACCATCTTCCACTTCCTCCTCAATTTCCTCTTCTGCTTGTTCCTCTTGCTCCTCCTCCTCTTCCTCTGACTCATCTCCATTAGTTGATGATTTGGGTAGATGTTTCTCCCCAACAATAGCTACCAAACAGAACTCTTTACGCTGAATGGATCCATACCAACTAACAGGTTTAAACTCTCCTCCCTCAACTATAGAGAACTGGTAAGGAAGACTGGGTGTGTGGCTTAATGGAGCTATAGCAAACTTGAGATAACGACTAAGAGCTGGTTGCCTTGATAAATCAACACAATGCTGTATTTCTAATGTTAGTTGTTTCAGAAGAGGCTTTGAGAGTGATACTGCATACACAGCACTGACTAGGATAGTATTCTTAGGAAACTGAAACTGTCCTCCTACAAGGGCAATCACTGCTATTTCTACTGTTTGTGAGGGAGATAAGCTACAGTCTTCTAAACTAATTCTCAAACCAAAATCCTCCCAGTTTATCAACTGTGACTTGTCTCCTTGAATTGAGAATATCTTCTTCTCTGCTATCTGGACATCACTCAAAGAGTTCAAATTATCTGTTACGTGTAACATTATAAAAGCACAATGTAATCTTACCCATGTAATCAAACTGTACTCCAACATCTTTAAAAGATTTTACCTGCTTCTTGATTTTGGCTATTGTCTCATCTTTTTCAACAGAATCACTTTTTAAATGTTGAATTGTAGACGTATCTCCTTGTAATCTGTAATAACCTAATCATAAATTGTGAAAAATTATGATAAAGACAATCATTAAATTGCTATAATAAAGGGAAAAGCATAACAATAAGTCAAAGAGCCGTGTGTTTTGCTCAAGCCAAGTCAAATACTCAAAGCCCAAGAACATCAAAACATTGTATGATTAACAAAAATGCTGAGTACTAAGTTTCATAAAATGCTGATATATCACAATATGTTAAAAATTTCTGAACAAACTGACCTCTGATTTGACTGTTAGTAATTTGTTGCATTCTATCAGCATCTGATTTATCAGCTAAATCTATCAACCGAAACTTTGATAAAAATTGTCTCTTTGCATCTTTATTCTTTTCTTCCCAGGTAAGTATCATTTGCATAAAGACCTTCCAGTCTTTCCAGTCTTTATCTGAGGTTGTTCCCATAAATTCATTATAAACAGCTTTGGCTCCTTCAGCTGATAGTTCAGTCAATTTTTCTGATATGATAGAAGCATCTTCTGATGAGAAAGAGTCTATACAAAATATAATTGTAGGATACATTTATATAAAACTACTGGCCTACCTCCGTTGAGTCTTTTCTTGACAGCAACTTTATGCTAAACAAAAATGTAAACTGAAGAAAAGTATGCTCTTAAATTTACCTCTGTCAATATTTTGTTAAATACTTTGACCTTCTTAGTATCTTGACTGGACATGGCAACAGAACATTTTTCGCATTTCTCTTTTTCAAAAGGAAGAGCATGGCGCTCCATCTTAAGCTCACAGGAATGCTCGGACCTCTCGCACATTATTGCAAAATTATATAATACATCACTTTCCTTCATTATCTCATGACATATGATGACAATATGCTCACAGACTTTATGCAGCAAAAGCTCATTACCAAGATTAGGAAAACGAAATTCAATGATATCCCCAAAATGAACAAGCTCAAAAAGTAGACCATCTGACTGAGAGCAAAATCGTGTCACATTGATGTGAGGGATCCTGGATACATCGAGTTGAGCTTTGGAATATGACTTCAGAAAATTGGCAGTGAAAGTGACTAAAAAATGTGACAATGAATTATTTGTGTCATGAACCAAATGAAGTGAGGTAGGACTGCATTGCAAAAGAGGTGGGTGAGTGCAGACATTAGAAATATAATAACTACACTGATCAATAGTTACATTAACTTGCTCCTGTGAAATCTTGGTAGCTATACATAACGATTCAAGAAATGACATATAAATGGATGCATCTTTGTTAAAAATGGCTTCTGCTGTAGCCTTGCTAACCAAACCATGACTAGTAACTATGGTATTATCAGAAGAAAAATAGAACAGCTTATTTAGCTTATTCAAAAATGTAACAGGCTGCAAGATGATTAAATTTGAAAAGGGGTCAATCAAACTGACATCAATGATGCTCCCAAATGAAGTGAAAAAACGACAAAACATATCATCATCCATATTAAGCTCCTTTGATAATTCCTGCAATTCATCTTTCATAACGTAAAGCTGATCTTTCTTATAAAACAAACTGCGAAGAAACATAAAAGAAAGCGGAACTTCTTCAGCATGATACTCCAGGCCATCTTTTATTCTCTTTTGTAAAAGGTGATACAAAAAAGTAATATCTTCATTGTGAAAAACTTCAAAATTTTCCATATCAATAAGATCATGAAGCTGCAACTGCTTAGAAACATCACTAACAGCATCTTTTAATTTCTTCATTTTTTCTTCAAGATTTGTTGATCCATTGTAGCTAGCAATTACACTGCAAACTTTTTTGCGATTTCCATTTTTTGCTGAAGCAAGTTTAGCAAAACGAACAAAATAATGAATACGTGATCTCCACCTCATGAGCTCCCTGTCATTACGTGACTTGTCATATTGATTCTCAGGAATATCAGGAACTTCATAAAGATGATCGACATCACGTAGCAGATCAAGAAACATCAAAACATGACTATTGTAGAGATGACCAGCAAGATGTGAGAGAACGTAAGTTGGTATTTTGTGAAGACCAAGATCCCAAACATTAATAAGAGCTAACCCACATGTGTGGCTTTGATCCCATTCAGTGACCTTGCCACGTTGCTTCATGAGATTATTTCCAAGAATGCCCATCATAAATTCCAATAAATGCTCATTTAGATCTTTATTTGAGAATCCAGGAAAATGATCAAAAGAGACTCTCATTACTTTCCCAGACAACCGAGCTATACTTTCTACTCCTGTATACATTATATATGGGTATCCCCTATCTTGTAGTTGAGGCGTAAACACAATCCTATTATGGACTACATTTCGAGCAGCAAGCATATCACAAAACCCAATACCATCTTCTTCCTTTAAATCTGACAGGACTTTTTTTAATGCTATGGTTTTTCTGCTGTTTGGTAAACCACAATTGATTAATAGCATTGGTGTAACTTTAAGTTTAATCGTAGAATTTTGCATTACTTCCTTCAACCATTGTGAATTTATTTCAAGAAATTCATCACCTATAAGAAATTATATGAACTATTGCCAATTATTGGCAGAAGTAAAAATATCCCAGCCCCTGTGAGAAATTTTTAGAAATCACTACAGCATTTTGACATTGTATTCATAATAAATGAGCTAGAGATCTGGTCATAAGTGTAGAAATAAAAATTCATTTGACCAATGGGCACTAATCAGTTTTATAGGGTATGGAGTAGTTTCAAGCAAAGGGGTGGGCATGAGACCAGCTATAGAGTAGATGCACCAGTTATGAGACCCTTAAGACTTTTGAATTTTAAAAATAAATTACAGGCAATGTCTCATAATACAAACCGTCTCAAAATACCTAAATCTACTCTAATAATAATAACAAACAACTTGCAATATAGAGCATAGAAAAATTGGCGTGGCTCAGTCTTAAAATTAGACTTTATGTGCAATAAGCACAGAATGGTGAGACTACAAGCAAGATCTTCTGCCACAACTCTGAGAGCCACCCTCATTTACCAACACTTTTGCTGACCATCTTACTATGCCATTTTTCTAATTGTATTTTTAATTTTTACTGTAATTTCAGGCTCAAAAATTATAAATTAAAAAACTTATCCTAAAAATGTCAAGTAAAAGGTTTTATGAATAAACATGTTATAGTAACTTACCTTGGGGTTGTAGCTCAGTATAATTTTGTTTTTTTATGTGTAATTCCCTCGGTGCCTTTTCTCCACCAGTATGCTGGATTATTTTCCCGATAACAAACCATGGCTATAAAAGTAAGTCTATATAAATATAGTAATTTAAATATGCCAAATTACAATTTCCTCCTGATAAAATGTTTCCTCACATGAAACTTCATAGGAAAAAGTGTTCTCTACAGAGCTATTCATTATTTGATTTTTCTCCAGTATATACATACCTTCATTACATTGCTTCTTAAATTCATTCCAATCAGCAGTTAAACTATCAACTGCATCTTTAGCTGGTCCACTATCACATGATAGACAACCCAAAAATGTCTCATAACGATTGATTAATTGTGAAAGATCAGTTATAGAAGATAATTTAGCTTCAAATTCATCAAATATTTTTCTATATGTTGGTGAATTATTGACAGCCACTGAGATTAGGTTTCTGGAAAAGAGCTCACTGCTAATATTTAAAATACTGAACTTTGTAGCCTTTTCTATGCTAGCAAGATGTTCCCAAAGAGACTTATTGATATGTGTACGGGCTATAAATAAACTTTAAAATTAATAATAATCAATTAAACCAAAGGTACCTTGTTCCACAGTGATAGGTCCAGGATTGAGTTCAATGTCTCCTGATAAAAGGAGGAGAAACATAAAGAACAATAAGTAGACAGCATATGAAACTATATCACACGAAAGCATTCCATTATAAATAGGTAGATCTATGTTTTCCTCAGTAGAGACCTCAGCAGTAGAATTAGGAGTAGAGTTAGGACCAGTACTAGCAGAATAAACAGCAGTAATGTGTGTGTAAGTAGCAGTAATATTAGCAGTAACATTATCAGTAGAAGCAGCGTTGAAACTTCTATTTCTTAATTCCCGCAAACTTTCAGCATCAATATCAGTTGCAGGAGTCAATGAACGAAGTCTGGAGGAGTTCCAATGACCAATAGCGGCTCTCCATTGAGATACATCAATCATGTTTACCCAGGGAGATAGGGCACAGTTAAACTCAGAGGACACGGACCAGAAAAGAGGTGTAAAA